TTTTATCAGGACTGTTTGAAGCCCTTACATGCCAGGCATCATTGGAAATATCACACCAATGTATTCTAATCTTCTGAACACATTTTCAGCATCTTATCAGTGTCATTATTGAATTTTAATCCTATTTCCAGTACTCCACTTCACTCTTTTATTCCACGACCCTTTCCTAGGTTTGTTTAAACGAGCGATCATGCAGTCAGGCTCAGGTCTGTGCCCCTGGTCAGTTCGGGAGGACCATAGGTACTTAGCATATCAGATCGGTCGCTTCTTAGAATGCCCTGGACTGACCGAGAACCCGGCGGATATGAACTCTGCCGAACTTGTTGAATGCCTGAAGAAGATCCCCGCGGAAAAATTGACCTCCGCGCTTTTCGCACTGGTAGGAATCTAGCCTAGTTCTTTTAAGAGATGTGTGGAAGGTGTGCATGGTATGTAATCGGATGTATTTTAGCAGATGTAAGGAAGGTATGTATGGTATGTGTGTAAATAATGGTTGTATTTTAGCAGCTATGTGCAATGTGTGTATGGTATACATGTCAGTATGTGTGTAATGTATGTTGTATTATAATGAAAACACTGGCCTAATGGAAACGAAATAATACACGACGTTTTGAACTTATCAAGAGTTCCTCATCAGACGTGGTAGAGGATAAATACTACATTTTATTGTCATATGTGTAATATAAAGTACGTAACAGTAGTTCAGTAATGCATATACTGCAATGCATGTTAGGTACGTATCCAATACATGTTCAACCATTACCTAAGTCAAAGCAGATGATAATGTTCATAACTTACCTTGCACAGCAAATATTAGCTGTTACATTTAGAGCTTCATATGTACACTATATCATTTCACCATGGACAAGATTTAGTGTATGTAGATTGTATAAAAAGAAAGAAAATCTTCTCCATCCCTTAGCACAGTTATACATATTCAAAATGATGATGATAATAGTAGTAATTGTAATAAGGGCAGTAATAATAAGGTAATGATTAGCATTAGTTGAAGTAATAACAAAAACAACAAAACAATATTAGTAATGATGATAATAACAATAGGAATGATAATAATGATGATGATAGTAGTAATAATAATAATAATATTAATAATAATAATAATAATAGTAATAGTAATAGTAATGATTATGGTAATGATATAATAAAAAAAATAATATTAATAATGATGATACTACTACTACTACTACTACTAATAATAATAATAATAATAACAACTAAAAGCTTAAACCCAGAATTGCTCTCCATCCACAAAACAGTTAAGAAGAAAAAGTTACAAAACCCAAAATCCTGTCTATCCCTTATTATTATTATTATTACCATCACATAATCACCCTTATCATTATTACTGCCATCACTATTGCTGGTTTTCTCCACCTCCAAGCCCACCCCCTTCCTGATGGCTCCCCGCGTGGACGGAGACTTCCTCCCAGACCACCCAGCCACTCTGCTCAGGGAGGGCCGCTACAACGCCGTGGACATCATCGTCGGCAAAACACGGGACGAAGGCGCTTTAAACTCTCGTAGTAAGAGAGTTAGCATTGGTCTTGGCTGGTCCATAAGATACTCCTAGTATAATATTTTGAGGCTGGCAGATATGTTATTGTGGATATATGCATATAGTGTAGACGGATACATTACTCTGGGTAGATATATTTCTCTCGGCATATGCATATTGCACAGGCAGATATATTATTGTAAGTATATGCATATATTTCTGGGGGATATATTACTCCATGCATGTGTGCTGGTGGATATATAATTTAGGCAAATAAGTATCGTGTAGGTGGATATCTTACTCTGGGCATATGCATTTTGTGCTGGCTGATATATTGCTCTTATCATATACATATAGTGCTGGCAGACAAATTACTCCAGGCATAGGCGTATAGTGCAAGCGGATATATTACTCTAGACATATTCGTATAGTTACTCTTGGCCCATATCTTTGAATATTATGGAGATGGAATGATTTGTAATATTTTCCAATCTTATTACTCACTTTCTTGAGCATTTCTTCCTTCATTCCTTCCAGCATTCTTGCAAGACGGCACAATGAACACCCTGATACAAAACTACAGCACAGTTGTCCCCTTCGTGATGGGCTTAAATGTCTGGGACGACAACTTCGACTTCTTAGGCCGCCTCATTTTCCACAGGTACTTGGGTGCCGTCGAGTTTGACATGAGCAAGATCGATGCTCTGACCAAGGTAAGATGAACATGAAGTATTTAGAAAAAGAATGGAGTAGCATCATCTTCCTTTTAATAGTAGTATTACTGATGACAGTGATAATGGTACTAGTAGCATAGGCTTTGGAGCCGGGGGGGCGAGGGGGGCCAAGTGCAGTTAGCTAGTTACTACATACAGGTTCATCCACTAGCACGTCACTACAGCAGCAACAGGATTCAGTCCCAGACCTTTTGATCCCTTGTACATGCTAAACCGGGTATTGAGATGGCCTTATGACATATTTTGATAAGATACACCAGCCGAGACACTTAGCCAGTACTGTGGCTTGGAACCAAGCACCCATAGTACACATGCATGGCATTTGTTGTATGCTGTACCACCATGAGAGGACAAGGAGGGTTAAGTACCATAGCTCAGTGCCGATTTGTTACACTGTCATTTAGAGACTAGCATCACCGACTTTAATAAAAGAATGCCTTGGGGTTGACAGTGAAACTGTATTGTGTCAGTCCAATTAAATTATTAAATTAAATTTTCCATACCGTGTGAGGGGGACACCCCCTCCCACACCACTCGCAGAAGTGCGCCCCCCCCCCCCACACTTTCAAAAGCGCTCCAAAGCCTATGAGTAGTAATACTGATAAAGACAAATATGAAGTATTTTTTTCTAGATTTATGGAAAAGAAAGAGTAAGAGGTCAAGAAAATGTAATAGAATGATGAAAGTGGCTGGAAAGGTGAAAGGGATGGATGCTTGTGACAATATTTCTTCTTTTTTTGTACAATCAGAAAACTTTGACCTAATGTGAATTTTGTTCACTTCCAAGCTCGTCAGTGACTCCTTCTACAGTACATGCACCATAGAAGCTATAGAAAACCATGCAAGGGGTACCGTCTATGGCCGTCATGTCTACGCTTACGAGTTGCAGCATCGTGGACAGTACACCTTTACAGAACTATACATGGGACCTGCACCTGAGTGGATGTTGGATAGTAAGATTTTTTTTATTATTATTGTTATTATTAATATAATTATTAATACTATCATTACTAATATAGTCTAATTACTATTAATATAATTATTGATATAATTATCATTACTGTTATTATTAAAAGTAGAAGTAAATACACGTGAATGCATTATCTATCTATCTATCTATATATATATATATATATAAATATATATATATATATATTGTGATGAAATTTGAACAGAAACATGATTACTCTAGCAAACTAATATCACTGTATCTACACAGCTCTTTGCCTTTTATACATAAAAAATGAACGTTTACTGTCAATACTAACCAACACAGTTACACACAGATGTAAGTCACATGGACGATTTGCAGTACCTGTTCTCCTTTGACAATCTCAATATCAGCATGAGCAAGGAAGAGGATTTCTTCGTTTCGAGGATCATGGTAGATCTCTGGACCAACTTTGCTGCTACTGGGTAAGAAACTGGTCTGAAACCTAAAACACTTACAATTACAGTCAAAGCTGCATCTTATCAACCACCTAGTAATACTAATAAAGAATTGTTTTTAAGAGATACTGATACTCTTGCAGAAAAAAGGTTTATAAACGAAGTAATATAAAGAATTTCTCTTTAGAAACCCAACACCGGATATGTCAATGGGATTCAAATGGACACCGACTGATGACTCGAAGGTTTCTTACCTCGGCATCACTTCATCCCCTACTATGCAGGTCTTCGATGATGTTCAGGTATTATATATATTTATACGTATAGGCCTTGCACACACAAACAAGTCTGAAACATGTTCAGAATACTGCATTGGATAAACTTATATACATACCATACATACTTTCGACTTGTTTTGATTGAGAACACACAATTTCCAAGATACTGGCGTGATTTTTCCTTTGATAGGAATGTTTGGGAGCAATGATTTAGCATACGACAGGTTTACTGTAGTGTTTTTTGGCCTGTTTTGAAGTATCTCTGTAGCATATACCAAACATGTTACTACTGATGTTTAGTCCTACATGCATGTGAGGCTTTACTTGAATACACCTTCCATGATGTTGATAATGTAGACCTAATCTGTAGTCATATGTAATAGAGATCATTGAAAATATCCTTATCCTTTATATTGCAAAGTGTCTTTCAGATATTGCTCTGTGCTTTTATATGCCATTATCATTTTCTCAGCATCCTGGAAAAAAATTTAGTTGTTAAATTATTGAGGCTTCCATGCTACCCCTAATTACCTTTGGAATGGTAAAGGTTCTCTGTTGACTTCTTACTTCGACAATGTGACATTCCCTACTGAATTTCTCATCTCAGTCTGATATATCTTACTAAATTTTCCTTCTCAATGACATGTCTTACTGAATTTCACGTTAGCCTTCCCCCCTCCAAAGAGCCTTCATACAATTTAATGTAGCATCAAGAATAAGGAGTTTATATGCATGCAATTAAACTTCTCTTTCTTGTTTCCTGCAGACCTTAGAATTCTGGAGAAATTTACCGAAGAAAGTGAACAAACTGCTGTATCCAGATCGTTTTCGCAAGGAGCAAGACTAGGAAGCAGTAGCAGTTACTATACCAGGATGTTACACTACCTATTATGATGGATATTTTGAAGTTGTTATAACAGCAGTGTGTGGTATTAAATGGTATTCTTGGTATGCCAATGAATATGGACACGACCTTAGTTAAGACTTGATTTGAATAGGCTTTTCTATTTTTTTTATTTAGAAATGTATCACAGTACTAATATTGTTCACGGCCTTTGGTAGTAGACGAATAGGGGCATTATATACTCAGTGTATATTCTCTGTCAAGAAATAAATTCTCGTTGAAACGAAACCTTGTTTTATTTAGTTACGTAATCAGACTCAAAAGGAACCATATTCATATGAGTGAGTGTCGATTATGAACAGTAACAAGCATGCGTATATGTTGATTATATACTTGATTGAACGTCATTCTCTTCCTAATTGCTTTCGGGAATCCGTCCTCTGTTTTTTTAATGATAAACCTGGAGCAGGACAACACTTTTTTTTCTTTTTCCTTTTTGGCGTAACCTTGAAAAGGAACAAACATCGTAATTCTAGAACCTGATGACTTGTCCTCAAAATATCTTTAAAACCGTCGGTCATTGTTGGTCAAAAAAAAAAAATGCCCACTATTTCCTATGAAATCCTTCCTTGCATGCGAATTTCTTCTATATAACTTGTAATATAATGTGTTTCTTCAGCATCAGACACCCTTGCCAACGGAACAACAACATACAAAATTGCCCGACATTACGTTTGTTAAATGTTTTGTCAAACTAAGCTTTCATTTACAACATGGGCAACGATATATTCACATTAAGACACTCCATGTCATGATTGCAGTGCATTAAAGCGAAGATATCGATGTTTATGTCATAGATGCAAGGCTAAATTAACAAACTATTCAATAGAACAATTAGTATGAGAACGATTAAGGCTTACCATTCCCTTAGTTGTTGTTTTTTTTGTTGTTGTTGTTGTTTTTTGTTTTTTCACGGTTCAGTTCCCTCGTGCATATTTTATTTTACTGTAGAGGAATTATGACCGATGTAGACAGGCCCCCAAAATCCCTAACCCTGAAAGATACGGATTATGGCAAATACGAAGGCTATTGTTATTATCATTTATATATTGTTTTTATTGTTATCATTATCATCATTAATATCATCTTTATGATCATCATGTTAATTTGGAATCTGTAAGCAATGGTAAGTTCTAGCTAGTCAACCGTATGATTGCTGGTATTAACAAATGTAAAAAAAGGAAACTTTACATACAGATAGATAATAACACACACACACACACACACACACACATATATATATATATATATATATATATATATATATATATATATATATATATATACATATATATATGGTAGAAAAACCCATAATGTAAAAACTAGATTTATTGAAAATGAAAGTGAGACGACAGTTTCGGAATTCACCTGGATTCCATCCTCAGGTCTGAAGAGGAAAGGGAGAGGAAGGGGTATAAGAGCGAGAGAGGACAGGGAACGCGGTGACACGGGGCAGGTGAGGACAGACGGACGGAAGCGAAGGGAGGTCAGATCAGGTCGGATGGTCGGGCGGATTGTGTGCAGGATGGCCGGCGTACGGGAGAAGGCGGAGGATGTGTGAAGCGAGGAGGCTGTCGGCGGGAGAAAAGCCGCTGTTCAAGTTAAAATTAGGCAGCAGCTTTATTAAGGAAGATTCCACCAGTCTGCGGGCGTGGACGTCAGCGGAGGGGAAGACAATTCGCGCCTCTGACCAGTCCATCTGATGGCCTGTATCCCACTGATGGCAGAAGAAAGCGTTGTTGTTGTGTCCCCTGGATATAGCATACTTATGTTGAGACAAGCGCTTAGTGAGACTGGCGCCCGTCTCGCCAAAGTATTGCTTGTCACAGGAGCCACAAGGAACAGCATAGGTGCCCACCTTCGAGGAAGAGGGAGGGCTGGTGTGGACCAGGTTACGACGGAGAGTGCTCTCAAGGAAAGCGAGGACGTCATCAAGCGGGACCTTAGTGAACAGGGAGTCGACATCCAAGCTCATCATGGTCGCCGGCAAGACACCCCGGACACGGGAGATGAAGTCCTGGGAATGACGGAGGTGAGCAGGAGAGGTGCCGAGAAGGGGAGTGAGGGACTTCGCCAGCCAGGCTGCCAGAGGGTGCGTCCCGGGAAGAGATAATGGGGCGCAGGGGCACGGCCGGCTTATGGGTTTTAGGAAGCCCATAGAAGTGAGGGAGGCGATGGTTGATGACCTTGAACCTCTGGTAACTACGTCCAAGAAATTTAAGTATAATTTATCATTTTCACTTATATTTACTCGTCTCTTTTAAGTTTTACTCAACAGAGAGCAGAACAAATTAGCAGATTCCCGATTATTTTTTTCTTCAAAATTATAACACGGATACTTTATACCATGAAGAAGCGACTATGTGCTCGATAGGGAGGACGTACCTGTAATATGAAATTGATTATTTGTTCACCTTAATTATGTTTAGTCAATATATCTGCCACACCCTTGCTGACTACATACTGCCATCAGACTATCTATAGTTATACGACAGTATGATCATCCGTCTTTAATGAAAAGAGTACCTTCATGCTAAGACAAACAGTCCCTGTGCTTCAAAAATCGATACAGGCGTTTCACTTTACAAATAAATTACTCTGTTCTGTTTATAACGACCGCAGTGGCCACCGGTCAGCCCAAGAAGGAGGTGTGTGTTTCAGAGCAGTGAACAGAGCATTTGGGATTATTTCGATTTTCTGATTTTGAAAGAATTCAACCTTTGCTGAGTGGTGAGGACTTGACTTGATTCCAAGTGTCACAATTTTAGTGTACGCACACATTTTTGTATACATACATACATATATATATATATATATATATATATATATATATATATATATATATATATATATATATATATATATATATATATATATATATTATATATATATATATATATATATATATATTATATATATATATATATATATATATATATATATATATATATATATATATATATATATATATATAAAGTATATATATATGATATAGATAGAATATAGATTAGATGAATATACATGCATACACACACACACACATATAAATAGATAGATTGATAGACAGACAAATATATGTGTGTGTGTGTGTGTGTGTGTGTGTGTGTGTGTGTGTGTGTGTGTATGTATATGGGTATGTGTATATATGTGTATATATATATATATATATATATATATATATATATATATATATATATATATATGTATATATATGTATATATGTATGTATGTATGTATCATTCCACTGCAGGACATAGGCCTCTCTCAATTCAGTATTGAGAGGTTATATGGCGGTGTCACCCTTGCCTGATTGGATGCCCTTCCTAATCAACCGCGGATCGGCGCGTTAACACTTGTGCTACGACACCTGCGTTTGACTTCTCAAGGCGATATGTCGTTTTCTCGGGCTCGAGTCAGCAGTCAGAGCGTAGGCATTTTTTACGACTGCCGCAACGGGGAATTGAACCCGGGACCACGAGGGTCGGAGTCCAGTGCTCTAGCCACTGAGCTATCACGGCAGTTTTTTTTCAATCGAAGTTCTTGGAAATGACAGAACAATCGCTGCCGGTGTCGATGAGGAAAAGAGCATCGTGCGTGTTTGTTGTGGCAGGGAGAAACACACGGTACTCCCCGTTGCAATATTCACGCCTGACGAGATCCGTCGTGAATGGCTCCTCTCTCTTCTCTTCCCTCGGGAGGCCAGCCATCTTAGAAGTTTTCTTTGCACACATTTAAAATATCAGGCGGTCTTCCGACCTTTCTTGTTGCAAGTTGCCTTGCAGATTGTTTTCCAAAACCGAGTGTTGGGCTTCCCGTGGCTGGCGCCACGCGGTGCGTTTTCGCTGGGAAGCTGCTGAGATGCTACCTGTCTGAAAGATGCTCTCGCTATATATATATATATATATATATATATATATATATATATATATATATATATATATATATATATATATATACAGGCCTTAGCCACGCCTCTTGGTTGATCATGGCGGCGTGAGGCCTCAACTCAGAATCTGAGGATTTTCTTCCTTTTACTTCCAGATTCCACCATTAGGTGTTCTCAGATTTGCCTTGTGATGCTCTATATGTCTTCAACACACTCTGTAGTATTATCTGGCTCACCACTCCTCGGCTATTGAAACTTTTCCCCCTACCACATAATTTTTTTCCCATGACTACTCACCCTCCATGCTTCAGCCTATTGGACTACAGTCTTCGAAGTGTGTTTGTGCTAAAACACAACCCTTTACCAGCAACAGCTTTGCATTCCACCAATTGTTCTAATAATAATTCGGCAGACCAAAGTCTATTTACATCTGGCTTTCATCCTCTAATTTGCGGTTATCATCTGCAGCATGTCGCCTATGTAATTATAAACTTGACCGTTTTTCTTCTTCCACCCTGGTCTGGTCCCTGTAGGCGCAGTGTTTTCTTTATTTACTTAATGGTTTCGACTAACCATACCATAAACATAGTTTATATGTACATGTGTGTATGGATATGAATAGAAAGTGTCTAAGTATTCCACTTATTGTTTTCCCTTTATACAGGTACAGATACGTGGACGCCATGGCTTGGTGGAAAGTCCTACTCCTGGTCCTGCTGGCCGCTTCTCGATGGTCGCCAACGACATCTCAAAATCATTCGGGTAAAATGTTCTGTCACTTAAATTAAACAGAAAATCAAAAATGATGTTAGTGATATTAACATTCGTGAATTGGTAATCTACCTTTTGAAACCATGCTCTCCATAGAGTGGGTCGTGTACGAGTTGTCATCAGGTAGCGGTACAGGAGATGCCGTTACTCGCTTGTCTGTGCTGTTAGAGGAATCCCTGTCTTTCCCTGAACCTGCATCTGTTCTCTCAACCTTCACCCTGTGTTTGTGGTTTAGGGTCACCACCTTTCTTGATATGTCTACTCTCTTAAGCTATGCTTTGTCAGATACAGAAGATGACATCATTCAGCTCCGTAAGTTATCTCCCTTTAGATCTGTTTCGAAAAAAGAAAGAATTAATGACTGCACGCATATTGCCTATATGGAGATCTATATGTGAAATTCCTAATTTTCATATGCAAGATTCTATAACTGAGGAAAATGACAAATATGGAATGAAATCTGGAAATCCAGCATTGCAAATAGCATGTGAAAGGGTTAAAGATATTCTTTAACAGGTGTTA